TAGGCGACCTTTGCATACTTCCGGGTTCAAAATCTCGCCGAAGACGGCATAAATATTCTTAGTAATATATATTTTCCCGAAAGATTCTTTCGATTATGCATTTCTTCACTAGAGTATCGATGTGCAGTCGTGGAAAATAGCGTTTTAGCGCTTATTTCCGAACAAAGAAAATTGTTTACACGTGAGTCAGATCGATCGTCAGCTATACCGCCGGCAGTCTCGCGCGGTGCACGAAACAAATTTTTGCGTCGCGTTTTAGGATATAAATGCCGGAACACGAACTTTTATTATTTTAAATATACACTTTACAAATTTTTCTTTGAAAAATAGCCAAGGAGAAATCGCGAATCTAAAAATACCGCGGATTGTCCATTTTCCCGAAACCGCGAACTTTAGGCCCCGCGAATCTAAAGAGACTTACAGTATACCAAACGACCCACCAGATTTTCCAAACATTCAACACAAAAAGACCAACTTTAAACATATTGTAAATATCAAACGCAAACAGCTAGGAAGCCCAAATTTAAACCACTTAACCATGGTAATAACAACTACATGCTACCTTAATATCGCACAAACAGTCCATAACGCGCAAACAACAGAATAAAAAAATTAAACTGCAGTACCAAGGTCAATCACCAGGGGCTCAAAGTCAACCTACACAATCTCCAAGGCCCCATCCATCAATCTGCCAAATATCGTACAGTTCCTTCTCACCGATCTTCAGATATCAGACCAAACATGAAACGGAGTAAAAACAATACCCCCATTTTCATGGAGGGTAACAATATGTTTTCCTTCGGTAAACATAAAAAAGTCCCTGTTTACCAGGCAGCATGCTGGGCACAAAGTAGATGTCCCTCTCCCTGTCGACCCTGGCCTGGTAGCCGGTATACTGTGCGGCGTGGACGTGCGTCATCTGCCAGCCCTCGCTCAGGTAATCCTCCAGAGCCTCCTGGGCCTTCTCCGCCTCCTCCCTCCGACGGTCCGCCTCGCGCTGGGGCTGCTCCGCTGCACCTTCTTCCTTAGGCTGTGGAGACAGTACAAAACAGAAACCTCAGAATTGATAGCATGGTTAAAAGTGAATCCTATCAAGATAATTTAAATTTTAGGTTCTCAAGTTTTTGCCTTGATTCAAAGTGATTCAAAACCTAGCCTTAGGCTAGTAGCTGAACTATGAGACCACCCTGTACCTGTGTGGGATTGTGTGATGTAACAGTACTCGACTCGGACCAAGAGGTCCCGGGTTCAAGTCCTGACATGCCACCTATCTTGGGAAAGGCCCTTTACATTACTTTCCTCATTTAACTCGAGTGAAAATGAGTACTAGTATTGTCTGTCCTGTATTTGTTTCTATGTGTGGGACGCAACACCAGCAACAGCTGCCCAATTGTGTTGTATTGTTACAATTTTAATTTCAATAGTTTTATTATACCTCTGTCTCCCCCTCCTCCTCCTCCTGAGCTTCCTCCCCTTCCTCCACCCCCTCCCCGCTGGGGCCAGCCTCTGGCTCCCGGGGGGTGGGGGGTTTGGGTGGCTCCTCCTCCTCCTCAGCATCATACACGTGTGTGAAGAAGTCGTAGGCTTCCTCGTCTGTGGGCAGGGCATCCTGGGATAGCACCATACAGGGGAACAGACAGGCAGAAGTCAGCTGGACATACAGCAGATTCAGACACAATGTAAGACAATACACGTTTTTGTTTATTTTGTTATATTTCTTATTTTATTTTCCATCATATTCAAACAGGGTTTCCCCACTCAGTGATGACACTGCTTTTCAGTGGAGCCCTGTATAATATACTTACACCCCATACTTTGGGTGACATATATACTCAAATGTCTCCCCTACAACCTTTAAATTAATAATCATTTTATGCCAATGCAATGTTGTCATCAACAAATATATATACTTCAACCATGCTCTACATGTAGGCTCTACCATACAATGGCAGAATGTTAATCTATACCATGTAAATATAAGCAATGATGTACATCATGTAGATAATTCGTGTAATACATGTAAGAGACCAAACCATGTACATGTAATCTAATTGCTTACTAATTAACTGTAAAAAGAAGTTTAAAGACTGATCCATGCACTTGTAGCAATAGGGAATATCATTACAGCTTCTCTAAAGAAATTAAGGTTATTATGTTATGGGACAAAGGTTTTTTATTATTATTATTGGGCATGCACAACTGTCTCCAAGTCTTATAACCAACCTTCTTGGCAAGCAGCTCCTGTGTGTGAAACCAGAGGTAGTAGAAAAGAGACACCCCGCAAAAAAACAAAAACACAAACAAACAAAACAGTGTAAAACACAGCAGAAAGCAGTTGTCTACAAACACAGAGATTGCTACATTGTACATCTACATGAACACAGGGATTGCTACGTTGTACATCTATACGAACACAGAGATTGCTACATTGTATGTCTATGCGACCACACAACAATGTCAGAACTAGTGTTAGTTGTTCTGCTTACAGTTGAGTTGAATTTATTGCAATTCAGTTTTAGCTTGCCATTAATTCTTACATACAGTAACCATGCAGCTTAGATGGCATATCATAACTTGTAATATTTTGTTTCATTTTACACATTATCACACAGAATATGAGAAAAATACTGTTTGTCTTTGTTTGAAAATGTAGGAAAAGTATGTGAATGACAGGACAGGCTGTAGCTTTGTCAAGGAGACCATCAAATGTGGTTATTGAAATGAAACCTTGGGCTGATTTTTTCAATGACTTTCAAAGACTGACTTATGGCACAGTGACCATTATGAGATATCATTTTCTAGTATTCACACCCAACGTGCTTTCAATCAAAAACCGTTCATCATAATGGTGTTAAATGTTGAGTCATTTGGGTGATCTGATATTGCTTGAGTGGTTTGTGTCATCAATCAACGATTACTTCATTGATGAAATGGTTTCATGCAAATGGCTGGCAATGACTGAGATTGGGTTATTGATGACCAGGTTAGTGCGAAGAAGGTATTGTTAGTGCGAGGGTTGTTGTAAGTTAATTACATGTAGCATGTTTATAATGAGGTTAGGTTATCCACTGAAGACACATAGATGATTAGTGGTTTGTTAACAAACAGACACAGACAGTGTGAGAAGTTTGACAGAACATGTACTATAATGGTAACCTCCAGCATGCTGGCTTACACTGTGGTCTCTTTTTGAATGGCTCAACCTCATAAAGGCTAGGAAATAAAATCAATAAGCCAATAAAATCTTTTGTCCACAGCATGATGAAGGTTAAGGAAGAATTGCAATCTTAGGGAACCTTCTTGAGTACCTTCATCCCTTTGCCCGCTTTCTTCCACTTGGACCTGGCGCTGAGTGACGCTTCCAGCAGCTTCTCCGCCTCCAGGTCTTCTTTATTCATCTGGGAAAAATTAACCATCATGCTTCAGTCAGTGCATTCTGGTGCAATAGCCAAGTGGGTAGAGTGCTTGCCTTGTATTCGGTAGGTCGTGAGTTCGATCCCCAGCCGAGTCATACCAAAGACTTTAAAAATGGTACATACTGCTTTCTCTGCTTAGCACTCAGCATTTGAAAAAGAGCATGGGAGTTAAAAACACACCACTACAAGTGGACTAGCACCCTGCTTTAGTGATTGCATGACTGTGTGGCCCAAGGGCTATAGAGACAGGGATGGGTGCCGCCATATGTGACCATGCTAATTATATTTCAGTCCATACTATGGTATGGATGAAATATATTGTGTTCTCTGATGTTTCTTCTTCTCCTTCTCCTGCCAAACAGTCAAAGGGATTCAACTCCGCCATCATTCAGCCAAATGACTTGAAATTTGGCATGGAGGTAGAGTGGGCCAATACCCCCAGGCGTTTTTTTCCTTTTTTTGATACATGCCTTTGAAAAAAATTTATGAAGGTTTTTTGGGGCATTTTTCGACAAAAAATGGACTTTTGGATCCTGAGCCCTGGTTTTACAACCAAATGATCTGAAATTCAGTATAAGGGTACCTTTAACATGTGTGTACAGAATAGCAATCACATATTTGGCATACACCACTTCCAAATGACTCATTTGGGGGACTTTAATGGCTATTTTCAGCAAAAAAAGGGCCAAAAGTGCTGTACCCGTTCCATGTTCTATCTAAAGAATGGCCGGTTCCATCCATGGAACATGTGTTCCATTGCGGGTTACCTGAGGTCACATTGCACCTAAGTGGTGCGTAATAACCCACACATTCAATTTTATGTGCCTAAGACCTTCAAAATGTATCAAATCTCATCATTGTTACCTTCGCCAAGAAGGTTATGTTTTCAGTAGCGTTTGTCTGTGTGTGTGTGGGTGTGTTTGTGTGTGTGTGGTTTAGCAAGATAACTCGAGAAGCAGTGGATGGATTGGAATGAAACTTGGTAGGTGGGTAGGTCTTCATGAGACCTAGAAATGATTAGATTTTGGGCCCCCTTGCGGCTTTCCTAGGTACTGCAGCTGAACTTCCGGTTTTGATATCTCATGTTCTGGACATGCTAGGGTCATGAATTTTGGTTGGTAGATAGCTCTTGGGGTAGGGAAGAAGTGACATGAGTTTGGGTCCCCTAGCGCCTTGTTCTGGAACTGCAGGAGCATTTGTTGAGAAAAATTTGAAGGACGATAACTCAAGAACCGGTTGACGTATTGTCGTGATTTTTGGTATGTAGGTAGTTGAAGTGATGCTTAACATAATCAGATGGCAATTATGCAAATCAGGAGCTAATTTGCATAATTAATGAGGAAATTATATAAATCTGCTTTGTTCGATATAGAACTATGAAACACTTGTGACATCTACTTGAGAACGAGAAAAACATCTGAGGATATAGATTATGTAAATGAGGAGCTAATTTGCATAATTAATGGCAAATTCTTATAATTCCATAGTTGTAACTGCTGCACCCCGAATTTTTTGCTTGCCACATTTGGAAGTTAAGTGAAGGTGAACATCAATAAATATAATTTATTCAAATTTTGACCTGATTTGCATAATTTATGAGGAAGTGCTATAATAGCCTTTTTGTTATGATAAGGCTGTCATTGGATGGAGAATATGATCAACTGATATAATCCATGCAAATGAGGCTCTTATTTACAAAATCAATGATTAAAATTGTACAATTCGTCACCCGCAAGGGTTAACATCATTTGGCGAAGGTATGAGATCGTGGAACTCTTGTTAGTTTTTGCATACCTGTAATAAGATTAGTAAAGCTTTCGAGATCCAAAGTAACGTTACTTGTTGTTGCATCTTTGTTCTCATATAGCTACTATTTGAGAACCTTTGCCAGTTTTGCACTGGGGTAAGTTTGGAATAGTCCACTTTTGCGTGGGAGGGAGATGGACTGAAATATGCTGTATTTGCTCCCAAGCAAATGTCGGCCTTTCTAGTCTTACTTTAACTTCAGTCAGTGGGATCAGAGTTTGTAGCAAGATTCTTTAATTAATAATAATTCATTTACCTTTGCAGTGGCAAAATCCTATTTTGGTAGGAGGAAAAAGGAGATTTTTGCGGTATTTCAAAGTCATGATTGAAACAACTTTGTAGTTCATTGGAGATACATAACTGTGGCAAAGAGGTCCCGAGAAAACTGCAACAATGAAACCACCACAAAAGAGATTGACAGTGTATGGAAATTATGGAATGAATGAAAGATGCCAATGGGTAATAAAATCCCTGTGGAGGGGGTACCTTGGTAATACTCTGGGCCTTGGCATGGGGGAGAAACATAATTACATCATGTATGAATGATTGTAATCAATCATAAAATTATATAAGTAACAAACAGATTGAGATTGACAGTGTATGGAAATTATGGAATGAATGGTGAGTAGAAATTCTTCGACCAGTGACTGTATTTTTGTAACGTAGATTACAAATTTTTGGTGTCGACTGTACACCGTGATCAAGGTGTACAGTCGACACAGAAAATTTGGAGGTACATAATCTACATGTACCTTATAAGAATACAGTCACTGATCGAAGAATTTCTACTAACTGTTAATTCTACGTGATTGATGAACCTCTTCTATGGCATGAATGATCTACTGGAACTTGAGTGGAAGATCTGACGGTACCTTATCAAACCTGGTGATGGCGGGAGGTCTCCCCCGCAACGCTCGCAACTTCCTCGCGGGACGCGGCTCCTCCTTAGCCTCACTCTCAACTTTCTCCTGGTGATGTACAACATAGGATTCATTGGTACAAAAGACATTACGCTTTTTTTAAAGAGCGATACATATAGAATACAACACGGGGTATTCCGTATCGCCCGAGGTACCAGCCTGACCGCACGTCGGATCAAACTCATTGTTACAAAACATGTGTACTAAATTTAGATACATTCCAACCTGACTACTTTTAATGTAGCATGGAAAAACAAGACAAGTTCAAGTTGTGAGAGAAAAGGCTCATGTTCCTGTACTCACCCTGACAGTCTTGACTTTGTTCTTAAGTCGTTCTCGGACAGAGGAACTCAGGCCGGTGGGAGACTTGGTCTTGGTCAGACTCAGGGCTGCGTCAGCCATAGACACTGTTCAATAACAGTAAGAAGATCAACAATTACAAAACATAATTATAACACATGACATTAACCTTCAGTCTGCTAATTAAGCTGTTTGGCACCAAATTTGCATTGCTTATGGGGTTAGGCAGCAGGGAGAAGGTTAGTTGCTGATGTGTCACATGTAGCCAACCAAGGACAGTCAAGGAAAAAGCCTATCCTGTGGTCTAGAACTTAGAGTACTCTACGTGTACATATATTGTAGGGTGTAAATATCAGTATCACCCTCATCTACTGTATCCAAATTGCTAGATAAGAAAAAGCCAAAAAAGCCAGTGGCATCTAACAAGCAGAGATTAAATCAGCGTGTCAAGGCTCAATGCAGTTGACATTAGCAACAGGAGGGTCATAAAGAGACACATGTACATGTAGCAGGGCTGTAGCACTGTGTGAACTGCAGAAAGATGCCAATGGGTAATAAAAATCCCTTTGGAGGAGTACCTGGGTAATACTCTGGGCCTTTGCATAGGGAGAAACATATGAATGATTGTAATCAATCATGAAATTATAAAGGTAACAAACAGAAACCTTACACTGATTATGTAATTCACCATTGACGGTTGGCAGTTATACTGGCTATACAGATACAGATACGGAATGGTTTTACTTTGTGTAAAGGGAAAAGGAGACATCTGTGTTCACATTTGAAACAATTCTGTTATGCAAGAAATACAATCACATTCACTGTGTCATGATTTCACGCCAAGAGTCACTGGGAAAACTGGGGAAATAAAACTGCCATGAAGGTAAATGCATTTACAGTATTTATAGAAAAAAAAGCCACACATTAATTAAAAGAACAGACATGAACATTGAATGTTGAACTGCAGACTAATTCAACAGATAAAAATATAGGGATATCCAACTCACTCTTCCTGGCGGTAGAGTCTACTTCATCTAAGTCTTCAACAGATTCCACCGCACCTTGCAGGCTCTTGTTTAACTGGGAGGAAAGTAAGATGGGAGTGAAAGGTTTGTCATAAGACAATAAGCCAGCAACTCGATCATAGCTTCAATTTTGGGTGCCCAAACTTGCATATGCACTAAGTATTTCCAGCAATGACGTGTATAGAAAATACATAGCAATACATGTAAAACAAAACATAGGAATGATCAGAATGGTAAAGATGATATGTTACTAAGACTTACTTCTCTCTGCCTAGTCTTCCTGCGTGAGGCCAGGTCCTGTAACATGTTCTCTTTCTCTGTTTCCTCATCCAACACCTAGAGAATAATGTGATGAACTTACTACATGTACCTGCCAATTTTCCTAAAAGAATTTGAAAGTTTGTGAAAGCTACATAAGAAATAATGCAAATATGAGCATAGAAATAGAGACATATAATATAGTGAGTTCATAATTCATATAATATGGAACATACAAGATGTACTGTGCACTTTTTATACCCCCTCCAAAATGTGACACATTAACTATTGACACTCCATATTTCGATGCTAGCATTCCTGTGATACATAACCACTGACTTTCCAAATCCAAAATCAAGCTCATCCACAGGCATCCCTTTACCTCCAATGTTGTCTCCTCTTGTTCCTTTGCCGGAACCTTCCCATTCTGCTGTGGACTGACCGCTTCCACATCATTGGATGCCTGGAAAACATACATAGATGTATAAGTCACGTACAGCACATTTACTGTGATATGTCAGTTCCTTTGCCAGGAAGGTCAAACCTGTCAGGTTCTTTGTCAACATGTTATCTTTGTTAATCTAAGGTTGTACAAGGTTGTATTTGCACATGTGAGGTTAACAGACCATCTGTAGATTCCAAATGTTACGTCGGTAAAGATGTCTTCTGCAACAGGCAAAATTGTGATGCAACGTTGACCAAACATCCAATGAAAAACCCCGGGTTTTGTGCAGGCACAGTACATTCTGCTGACATGGTTATAAGACTGCCTGACAGTAGTATGTAACCCTTACCCATGTGTCGTCCATGCGTGACGTGGAGATGTCAGGGTCGGCGTCACTTTGAGCCAGCGACTCCTGCAGAGCCTGGCGACGCTTACGGATCTTGTCTCGTAAAGTTCTGTGAAAAAAATTATTGATCGTTTGATCTGTTTAAGTGTTGAATACGAAAATGAAGACGAAACTTTGAAAGAAGTCATGCTAAAATTATGCCATGTAGTTTTTTGTACACTGATCAATGGCACACCAGGCTTGGCAATATAGCTATAAGGTTCTCATGATTATAAATATAAAAGCAAGAGCTGCTATAATTTTACCTAGTTGAAATATAAGTTAACGTTTCATGTGTTTTACGTTAACCATTTTCAAGTTCATAGTCATACATAATTTTTTCACAACTTATTTGTGAGGGAACTACTCACGTATCCGCCATCGTTTGAATGCCAGCTGCTTCAGTAACGAGTAATTCCACTTCAAAAGACAACAGATCCGGGTTCACATCTTAACTGTTGAGAGATCTGGTAGTGATTCACTGAACAGTTGGTCGAAGGGGGAGGGGGGCACCAAGCCAAGTTCGGTCGAAATAAAACGATTGGCAAAAAACGTCAGCGATTTGACACTGAAAAACAAATCAGGTCAAACCAGCATATATCTCCGAACATGGTCCCCTAGGAGGCGCGGTGGCAGTGGGAGGTAACTTTCCAGAGGCCGAATGTAACGTATTCTCCCCAACTGCGTAAAACAACAACACTGAAAGTGGCGCCCCAAATATTTTCCTGCTTTGGTCATAATTACCCATCATGCATCTGTTGCTTAGCAGGATGACGCTTTGCCTGTGTGATAAAATATCGGAATCAAAGTCAACATTTTTTTTCTGAAACATGTCTCCATTTCATTAACTAAAAAAAAACTGATAAGATATTTTGAATGGATTTGATCTATTTTTTCATGAGGCGAGGTCTTGGCGGTGACGTTACAGTTGCGCCCTCTAGCGGTAAAAATGGGTAAATGCATGCAGTATCTCGGAGGCTCCTTGTTGCACTTTGATAGTATCTCGCAAGGTGTCGCGATTTAACCGTAGCTGGTAGCTGTTGGAACCGTCATTCACGTGCGTTATGTGAGGTAACTAAACATGTTTATTTTTAATTTTCTTCATATCCTGCACGTCTTGTTGTGGTTATATACGACAGGGGAGGGTTTGGTGATGTTACTCTCTCGATCGATGCCGTTTTTTTTCTCCTAGAAACTTCTTTTCGACTCTCAAGAGTTCATCAGAGGGACGCGGCTGGTTGACAGTGGCTATCCCGTTACAGTTTCAGTCAAGACTTGTCTGTGGCCTTTTTTGGAATAGTTGATAATTTATGAACTATAAACAGCCATCAAATGTTGTGAATGTTGGCTTCAATTTCCCTGTAACAGCTTTGAAACGCAACTTTTCCTCTCGGCTCTTGAGACCTACTCCATTTTTGCGTTCATATACTATTGCTGTCGCCCCCTCTGCCATGATCCGACGATAGCTCAGTTGGTAGAGCGGAGGACTGTAGTGGTCATTGCTGGCATCCTTAGGTCGGTGGTTCAAATCCGCCTCGTCGGAATTTTTTTGCCTCGGGTTTTTTTACTTCCCATTTAGATCAGAATATCTTGGTCAAACGTATTTAGTTATCTTGCATTTAAATTTTTATCGAAATTCGTCTTTTTACTTTGATAATAGCCTGGGTGCCAGACTCACAGCACACAAGGCTCAAAGTTATTCTAACATCTTTGTGTTTAATAAATTTTTTGGAGGGGAGTGACAGAGTTATGCTACGGAGGGACAGTTTTGCTGCTCAGGGACTTTGCGGGGGACAGACGGTTTGCCCGCATTCTTGAGCAAAGTCCCTCCGCAGCATAACTAGCGTCGCTCCCCGAAAAAACTTAACCCGCTGCATCTGAAGTCTGCAAAGGAGGCTAAAGTTATCCAGTGTGCATGATACCTTGGGCCTAGTGTGCTCTGATCTGACATCCACTGCTATTTGATCAGTGCACATTTTGAACTTGAAGACCACTGGGCCCTCTTGAAAATCAGTATCGGTAAGGCAAATCACCCAATACTAGTACATTGTATTACCCACTTTTGCCTACCACTCGCTGGTCGTGATGTCATGGCGATCGCTTGTATTCGGCAGTTGCCTTTCTCTCTCCTCAGTTTCCTGTGCAGGCCTCTCAGCGTGGCAGGTGCAAACCCTCTCTGGGTGGCTGGTTGTAGGATGGCCAGCAAAAGAACACATTAAAAATTCTACAAAACGCAGTATCAAAACTCCCACCTGCCCGAAGGCCTGCACAGGAGGCTGGTATATATATGTATGGGCAAGTTTGTACTCCATATTTCAGGCATATCAACTTGCCTGTGTTGTTTCTGGCCATCAATTTGCTAACTCGTCTATAAATAACTAGTTCCACAGAGTCAACAACAGTCACGGACAATGGACTTCCAGGAAGGGCAGAGACCTCGACACGACAAACTACACGGTATGCTGGTCATGAAGGACAAAGGTAGAAAAGGTGGTCGCATAGCAAAGAGGCTATGATCCGTAATGCCTTATTACCTGGATTTACAGGGGTCTCCCCAGAAATTCTTAGGGGAAATTAAAGGTGCTCCTTAATTGGTTAATGAATATACATTGTACTAAGAGAAAACCCAAAATTTTGACATTTTTTAAGAGGTGCTAGGATTTTTGGGAGAGGGGGAGCAGCATTGCTTCATTGCTTGGGGAGAGCCTTGATTTAGTACAAATGTAAGTGTGAACAGGATCTGTGTATTGTGAGTACAATAATTAGGGATGACTTTATTGTCTGTATGTACCAACTGTTACCAGGACTGTCATGTAACTTAAGGATTGGGATTTACCCATGGCCATGGCATTGTTATCTCCAGACCATCATCTCATAAGATTGACAGATGTTACTAAAATAAATGTTACTAAATCTAACTTACTGTGCTAACTACATGTCAGTTGAAATTTGAAAACTAATGATACTTCGTGTAACTTGGTAGTACCGTGTCCTACCTGTAGTAACTCTTTCTGTCTGCACGATTCTCTGACTACTACAAAATATCAATGTGGGGGTCTGGCTAAATAGCAAAATACTCTGGAAAAAGTCACTTGAATTTCCCATAATTGTGTGTGATCTGTTGGAATACAGTATGTTTAAGGATGTAAACTTCAATGACATCTACTTCTAGATGTATATTATGACATCAACCTGTGGAACAATTTGTTATCCCATTGCTGTATACCCTCCCCTTTTTCTGCGATGAAAACTGTTTTCTAGAAATTCTACTAGGAATCATCCATTGACTCATAAACACTCAACAACTTTTCATTCAAGGCATAAATAGTCTTTATTCAAACCCAACTCTGTGCAATAAATTACAAAGTGCATAACATCAAGAAGCCAGTCGTAACTTGTGGTATGATCTTTTCCTTGTAAATTACATGTCGCATATATGTTCACAAGTTTTTCTAAACCAGAGACAATGCAAGCAACATAATTCTCCCTACATGGCCTTCAGTAAACATTTTTTTAAAACTCCGCATACAAAAAAAAAGCAGAAGACTTCATCAACGATATGCTTGCTTGACAATTGGCCACCTTTTAAAATTTCAGAATGAAAAACAGTTATTCACTTCGGATCATGAAGACCAGTCTATCTAAGATGAAATCCCTTGTTATCAGCATTCTTGAACTGTCACTTTGTGCCTGACTTTTGTTGTTGTTGAAAAAACAGATTCAGACTAAGTCTCATTAAAAAAAGTGTTCACTTTCAGAGTTTCTGCGTTTCAAACCAGTCCCTTCCTCCTGTGACCAAATATTGATCTGACAGACAACGATGAGCGAACAGTAACAACACAGGCAACAAAGGTCAACTCTGTTTTGACGTAAGCAGAACGATACAAACATGTAAATCATCTTCACAAAATTCTCTCCTGCTGATGTCATGCATTCAGGTATAGAAGTTGCTCAGACGGTGCTAATACAACATGTACATGTCCAAAAAATATTTTGAATGCAGGCATAAAGAACACAAACTGTCTATTTGCTCAGTCATGTTTGGCACCTTGATACATTAAAACCATTCATGTAGACTCCATCTTATAAAACAAGGACAGTGCAAATATTCTTTGATGTTATCTGTTTTGTACCTCAACATGATGATGACATAAACAAAAGCCAATAGACATACAGGACCCACAACTAACAGCCACCAGATTGAAAACAGTACCATGCTTGCATAAAGTTTTGTTTTTCCTATATGAATCAAAGCTGTTCTCTGACTGCCACCATTTTCTTGCCATGTTTTTGACACAAAAACACGGCATGTACAACTTGTGGAGGAGCCCAGCATTTGTGACAACTCCGACTTATCGTCTTGTTGCCAAACATCAACTCATCTTGATTGACACATTAGCAAAAGGCGGCTATTCATTGCATGTTTGTTATACTTCTGAGCATGTCGTGCTGGATTTTAGATCCTGTTTTACAAAGTACAAATTGCCAATACAACACGTCGCAGACAAAAGCCACACCCAGTGGACAGCTCTACTTGTACGGGTCTTTCTTTCCAGATGTACAGTATAACACACACGTAACAAAATTCTAAGCAGTTTAAGGGCCATAGACGGGGGAAATTTCGGACATATCTGCACAAAACCATTCTTGTCCTTTAAACATCTTAATTTTGTGTTTTGTCACTACCATTAATCAAGTCCCTTACATTATGCTTGTACTGGGAACAACTCAAATACGTGTATAACCACTTTGTAATTTTCTTAATCTTCTCTACATTTTGGGATTTCAAGCTTTTGAGAAGAAAGCAACTTTTTTGACATGACCCTAATGAAAACACTTTCATCCAGTACAATGGAGACACTCAGGTTGTGTCATTACATAAAATTGCCTAATGAGGGAAGGTTTACAAAAAGCAACAATAACAATCCATGTTCCAAGTTGTAGAAGTTTGTCCTTCTCACCTGTTATCTGACAGAACTTTGAAGAGCCCAAGTTGTGGGGCATAGAGCCCTCATGTACACAAGATGTATCCAATGTGTCAACACTACAAGACAAAATGATGTAAACCTGACGAGGAGAAGTGCCACGGTGACCTTGTTTCGCATCAGTGATCTACAAATGTACTGGGTAATGTCATATCTCTGGCCTGGCACTCCCTCTTGCATAAGTATGCTAGCAATAATATTATAATGCACTCTATTGTTCCCAACAGCTATTTTTTTATATATAAAGTTATACATATATATAGATCCTCTTATACTATTCTTCATAATCTTATACACAAAATTCATATTTCTGCATCATTCAGCATACATATCTTACAATAGTAATACATACATGCCACCACATCTGCTATGTAATGTGCAGATGCTAGTTGTGCGTAAGCGATACAGTGATAGCGCCACATCAAGGCAAGCTGAAAAAATAATCACTTCCTTTTTTTCTCTGTTGTTCTCAGTTCTTTATATTATTACCCTCCTGTACAAACTTGTTTGTGATGACCTGTCCTTGGTACTGAAGGGCCTTCGTATGCATCTCACCGCATACTGAGACAGATATTGTCTGTGGACTCGAGAGCCACTTATTCCATGTCACAATCTTCTTCATTTCTATATATCTTGGGATTTTAGACCTTTATGAAGAAACAAATGAGCCTCTGTTGTCAGTGTTTCCATTCTTCACGGAAGATTTGGTCATTCTGATATTGCTGTCTAACTGTTGCAGTCTATAGCCCTCTTAAAATCAACTAAACTGGGTAACTGGAACTTGTGAGTTGTAAAATAATTTCCTGGCCTGATTGGTCAGTGCAAAAAGCTAATAGTCAGAGCAGCATCTACAGATCTGTTTGAACCAGTCAAATTCAAGATCAAAGATTCAAGGTTTGAGTTCTGTGAACTTCGCCGTCGAAAGGTTCCTTCCTTTTTTGCTTTGTCTACCGGATGCTCGTGTGTGGTCTTGGTAGGCCACACTTCTGAGCACCTTAATAATGGCTGCAAGAAACAGCAACAGTGATACTCACTAGTTCAGCAGCTCCAAACAACACAAGACTACAAAGCAGGTCATTTGCTGCAGTTGCATCATACAAGTGACATATCGCTAAAGTGACCACAAGAGTATCACTCACAACAATATAACACTTCTACTGCAGTAAGACAGTGTAAGGTGTTGTAGTACATTTGATGTACGAAGATCATTGGACAGATCATAGTTTTGAATTGAAGCAATTTAGACAGTTTCCTAAACTCAAAAGAGACATAATTGTTCTATTCCTCTTTATACCAGCTTCTACTTGTTGTTTCCATGATTGCTTTGGCTCAGCCAATGAAAATCCTGCTTCTGTCCTCCAATGAAAACTGATGTGAAGACTGGCTCAGCCAATGAGAGTGTACATCATGTCTTTCCTTATTGGAATACAGACAAAAGTAATGGGTTTCTTTGTTATGACAATCTAACCTGTCAGCAAATCGCTTCTCCAGGCATATCTTTGAACAGAACAAAATTTTCAACCAACAAGAGGGTTTCCTTTTACAATGAATGTTGTCAATACAAATTGATAATCTTAATGACAATATGATAATCTTTAACAAAAAGTTCTTTTTATGCCCCACCAATGTGAGGCTTGATTTCCCTTTTTTCTGATATCAGCTCTCCTGGTTCTGGAATGTTCAGGTGAACAACATCTGGCGTAGAACGTCCTCCATGCGAACGTTGGCGATGAGAGGTCTGAAGAACAGCTCCGTGATTGGCTCCTGCTTGATGCCCCTCAGGAGGGGCACCATCAGGAGGATGCGGGCGAACCGTAGCGTCTCGAGCGGCCGCGTCATCATCGTGTACTCGTTGAGCGCTTGCTGCGCCTCCTTCTGTAGAGCCTCGATGTAGTGTGGGTGGGCGAGTCCTGGAACTGTAGATAGACAAACAACCTGGTGAGACTATTGTGCCAACAGCACATGATATAATATACACAGTAGATTGATTCTGTTGTTGCAGGACTGTCGCGGGAAAGATTGATTATGTCTGAAACAGTACAGTTAACATGTAGGCAGAACAGGATCCAAAGCATTTTTATAACGTAACAAAAATGTTGGGATTGTTTTTGTTATGCAAGACAATGCTTCCAACGTTTGTTCTCTAGATCCATGCAGACAATGAATGAAGTATCGGGTGTTTTTTTTACGTGCTTGTACAAATGTAGCATGCCATGGACACCTGTTTCCTCGTTCTTTTTCAAGACTTATTACCGAGATGAATATAACTAGGGTGATTTGTATAGTCTTTGATTTTTCTCATGGATAAATATTTGATGTGTGTCCTGAAGGAGGTTATGGGAGCTGCCAGAAATTCTTTTTAAGCCTTTTTACTTAGGAGAAACGACTATTTGATCCATGTCTCGTACTGAAGTGCTGGCACCAGTCACAGGCTGATACAATCAATTTGCTACAAAGTCGACACTTGAAATGCAAAATGTTGGTTCATAAACAGTACAGTACTCCACGTTTAAGGTAAAATCGACCTTCAACGAGGTCAAGGGATAGGTGATGAGGTGATGTGAAAATGTTCTTGCTACACGTACATTTAGTTATACAGTTTTACATGTATATAAACAATCACAATGTACTTATAACTACATAAAATGTGCTTATAACTACATTGTAAATGTAGTTATACAGTTTTACATGTGTATAAACAATCATATGTACTTTGGCCTTGATCACTAAATCCTCAGTATCTTGTATTGTTCCCAAAAGCACCAAGTTCACGAGATGCAACGTTCCTTCTGAGAGGCTACTGCACATGCGTACAAGTATATAAATATCCTACTCAATGACATGACCCTCCAAACTAACTCTCTTTGCCCTGCTTGGAACCAGTAGTTTTTTGTAGGACTAACAATGTAAAACTTAAAGGTGCATGAAGGTTGCAGATGAATTTGATTTAGTACTGTATTTATGGATATGCTGTCCAACAAGAAGTCGTGCTGTAATTACAAGTGGCATTTGGAGCACGCCGCCACACCTTAGTCAGTCCCCACCCAAGCGTGTGAGCCATAATAAGCCTCTGCCTGGCCATGACCCCGTGCATGCCGGTTCATGTACACTGCTTTGTCATCCCTCGACTTTGACCAAATCAGTTATGCATGTATTTCAGGTGTGCCTGCTGCCCTCTAGGACAGTCACATGTCGCGACCCCTTCCCTTTCCTGCCCTCCTGTTGAACCCAGCTTCTTTTTTTGTTTGCACTGGGCAAATGTTGGGACAAAAGATGGCTATCGGTCTTATCGCATAATTACAAGTATGTCTACAGCTGCACGGTACACAGTCACTTGGCCTTGGTGGGGTGGGTGGGGAGAAGTGATTTGTGGCATTCACACAGGAGTAAATGGGCACAGGGCCAACACACGTGGCAACAGGTGTGACTTTGAAGTCTACCATCTACAGTATACTATCCTCAGATAACCTACGCTATCTACATCTCCCTCATTACCTGTTGGCCTTGTCCAGTTCACTACATTTTAACAAGCAATCAAGTATTGGTTGATTAAAGAAATTTGGGGGAGAAAGCACTTAATGGACAGCACCAAGTTCTGTGCCATATTGTGTGGGAAAGTTCACAGAGTTTCTGTTTCTTCACGTGGAAACAACTGCAGGTCTAAATATACATAGGTGTTGAGTGAATGCAGGTTTGTGTGTGTCAAGTGACTGGCTGGGAAACAAATTATTTTCTGATAAAGGTTGTCTTGACTGAATCTTTTGTTCCTTCAGTTCTGAGCCAGACAGATCTATGACTGGATTAACTGATTAAGTGCTCACAGATATACATAATTACCTTCAACTTTAACCTCTAATTTTCACCATTATCTTTACCATATTTGAAATATATCATTATCAATTCAAAGTCTTGTGAATATTACAATTGCAAATGTAGTGTTTCTAAAACAGTTTCAATAGATAATACTAAACCCAGGGTTTTGCTGAGCCCTTGATTGCCCTCCCCTTTATTTCAGCAAACTCACTTTTACCTTCTTGCTTATGTAACTCAACTCTTATCTTAATCATTTCAGACGTGCCAATTTTGTCTGTCACAATGATGGAATGGCCAACAAGATCCTGTCAAATGGATAAAAAGACAACTCAAGGCAAAACCCCAACTCATGATCAATCATGCGCCAATGGGAATGTTATGATGTGATATTCCAAACAAAAAGATATGCCATATACTAGTACTCTCCTCAGATGACATTGGTCCCCAGATAGCTGGCCATAAGTAAGGTTTTATGGAGGCACGCGGAGCATAAATGTGGCCTGACATGAAACAGAAGGTCATCTTTATGGGGAGGGATCAGCAAATATCTCCCTCTACATGTAGTTATAGTCATAATAATGCTATCTCAATTTTCCTCTCTGTAGCAAATATTACCAGTGTTTGCAACGATATTGTCAATAACAGATGCAAACCAATTTTACGAAGATATCTATTTCGGAGGCGACTTGATTCTACATAAAGGGTACGTAGTGAGGCAGAGCAATACCAATAAGACCATACTTAGTCTGAGTGTATGACAAAGATGCCATTAGGAACCATTACTCCATATTGACCAAGAAGGGTAGTCAATAAAAGTGCAATACAGTACTTGTACAAGAGGCCCTCATGCTGCATTGTCCTAAATCTAATGATAGACTAACAAATTTAATTTGATAACTAGTTTATGTACAATATTCACTAAAAGGACATTTGGTGCACTGTATAATACTCGAATAGGGACAAAGAAAGAATTTCACGATCGGTGTCATCAAATGACAAGCAGTTAGCTTACATGTACGTGTAATATTTCCAGCAGAATAACATCATCTAGACATCTATAGACATTTCACAGACACACAAACTCACCTGTCATTTGCATGATATAGTGGTGCTTAGACACATGATAAGCCATTGCATTACTTGGTAATAATTCAATTACATTCACTAGATATGATGATCACTACTTGTACATATTCACTGTGATAGTAATTGTTTGATTAGGTATCCCCATATCCCACATATCCCTATACCACTGAATAAAGATTATAATACATGATCTGTTTCCTGGACTGAACCTGGAACTACATGTAACGTTACATTAAACAGTATAATTTTTTTTTTTAAAGTAAGAGCTACAAATATCACTAATCTAACACTAAGTAACTGTGTTACAGTGATTATTTGATTAGGTATCCCCATAACCCACTGTGATAGCCCCATGCCCTTGAACAGAGATTACCAAAATGATGCATATTCCTTGCCCAAAACTGGCACAATTAGTAGTCTATTTTGTATACTAGTACATAAATTGGCAGTGCTAAATATATATATTACTAACTGTTCGATAATATGATTACATGATTACTGATGATGTAATTGTTTGGTTAGGTAGCCCCATAACCCACTGCCACAGCCCCATGCCCTTGAACGAAGATTACAAGGTTGATCTATATTCCTTGTGAGCACTGGCACCATTAGTATGTAGCACATGCCTCTGTCTGGTCTGTCTGCACACGCCTGGAGAAATCTTATTGCTGACTGATGGTAACCTTGACTGGGTGTCAAGGTCACCAAAATGGTGGATTGACGAGCTTATTGGTTTTCAGCTGACGTTGCGACTGTCTGAGAGGGAGTTGCGCAGTACATGTCATGCGCCCCCGCACACCTCGCCAGTATATAGCACACTCAGAGTGACTTCAATCCTTTGAATAAATCAATCAATAGAAATATCAACTTATTCTTTATAAATATTATGTACACTGCAAGATGTTTTTAATCCATCACTCTTTTAATATTTCATGCAGCAATTTAAGGTCGAGGTGACAATAGCTATCGGTTCATGTAAGGACATATGGGTATGCAGCAGACATAACAACTTTAACGGCCACCCTCAAGGTCTCTCTCTGCATACCAGGAGTGCACATCTGTCCCCTGAAGTCTCCCATTTGCACGATAAGCTTTTGACATTACAAAAATACACATGTAACTGTTAAGGCTCTCCTGGGAGAAAACATTTTATATCTGACATTAGGGCTGTCAAGGTTAAAACAACTTGAGAGAAGGTGTTACAGATATGTAGAATCAGAAAAATCAAATTACTAGTAATGACATACAAAATGAAGTTGAATTAATGTAAATAAAATGTTAACTTGAAATCAGATAAATGTTGAGACAGAGTAAAACAGAAAATACCGAGGAATGTTCTAGAGTGGCTGGTACATGTGTAGTCTTAGACTCTTCCCTACGTATCTATCCTAGAACAGTCTGCTTATCTTCATCCAAATTAATTCATAATGATCTCATTACATATTTATGCCAGAATGTACCCCTTTTACCTGGAGTGGTAAGACCCCAATACTTTTGCCTAATGTGAAGTATATATACATACATGATATGAACTTACTGACATTGAACATCAGGAAATACATAAAACCTACGAGCCAGACACTAAATTTGCATAAATGAATGTCTAGTGCATGTACCAAGGACATGTATGGTGATTCATGTACATCAAGTTATGATCAAGCTACTAAAACTTCTACATTGTAGGAAAGATGGCATTTTCATCCATCTATATAAAATAATGAGCTGTAACAACATGTATATGATTATAACTCATGTGAATCCATATTCTGTTATAACCATCAGAATTAATGATAACACGTCTCTCAGTTCCAAAGTGTACAATTTACTAGAAATCCCCCAAACCCCATTTTGTGTCCTATCATCCATCCTACTGCATCAGGGAAACTTTTTAGAATCCCTGAAGTTCTTCCACACGTCTGGAAGTTGGCCAACTGGCAAGCCAGCCATCCATCCAAAATAGAAAATCAAGTTCACCTCAGGGTACTCGAGGTAACTTACATAAGGCATTAGAATGTAG